GGGTGTAACTCAGGAGAAAATCCAGTGCAGTTAATGGAGTGGCACCAGAGCAGAACTGGCAGGTCAAGCCCAGTTTCCTGTTCCTCACCCCATGACGGAGACGGGTGGCAAAGGGGAAATGTCTTCAGACAGGGAGGCCAGGAGCATGGAGCAGAGCAACCGGCAAAGCAGGGCTATCGCTGGCCCAGCTTCCTCCAGCCTCGGCCACTTGCCCAAGAACATGCAGGAAAGGCCCCGACAGACGCAGGAATCCTGACTCCGCGTTTGGTGTTGATGTGCACAGATGAAGTGGGTGAAGAGAGAGAGGACACCCCACTCGGTATCAGATTACAACCTAACGCAGGATAAAATCTCATGCTTGCTGTGGTGGAAAGGCTACTGGGCCAGCTGTATTTTGCTTCCCCTTAATGGATCCACTGGGAAAAATCTAGCCGGACAACAACATTTCTCCAAGCCAGAGCCGCAGGGAGAGAAACCTCCCTCTCCCAGCTTCCCAACTCCGGTTTGTTCAGCGCCACGCTGCACGCTCTGCAGCTGCCTGCGCTGGCGTTCATGAAAAAGCTTTTTTTAAACAAAGATGATTCAGAAACCCGCAGCAGCATCAGATCATCGCGACTAAATAAGCCTGAGAAAGCAGCAGCTCTCAGCTGAGACTCTCTCCTTCCCCTGACACTTGGGTGTATATATATATATATATATAAACAATAATCCCAGGAATTGCATCATAGGGTTATTAAAAGCTAAAAAGAGCAGGTGATTGCATCCTTTTTGTTGTTCAGCAATGATACTAACAAGGAAGAGACGCCAGCAATGTGCATCATCGAAGGAATAGAATCATAGAATCTCAGGGTTGGAAGGGACCTCAGGAGGTCATCTAGTCCAACCCCCTGCTCAAAGCAGGACCAACCCCAACTAAATCATCCCAGCCAGGGCTTTGTCAAGCTGGGCCTTAAAAACCTCCCTAGGGAACCCATTCCTATGCTTCACCACCCTCCTAGTGAAATAGTTTTTCCTAATATCCAACCTAGACCTCCCCCACTGCAACTTGAGACCATTGCTCCTTGTTCTGTCATCTGCCACCACTGAGAACAGCCGAGCTCCATCCTCTTTGGAACCCCCTTTCAGGTAGTTGAAGGCTGCTATCAAATCCCCCCTCACTCTTCTCTTCTGCAGACTAAATAACCCCAGTTCCCTCAGCCTCTCCTCGTAAGTCATATGCCCCAGCCCCCTAATCATTTTTATTGCCCTCTGCTAGACTCTCTAATTTGTCCACATCCTTTCTGTAGTGGGGCGCCCAAAACTGGACACAGTATTCCAGATGTGGCCTCACTAGTGCCGAATAGAGGGGAATAATCACTTCACTCTATTTGCTGGCAATGCTCCTACTAATGCAGCCCAATATGCCATTAGCCAGCCTTCTAGGCTACAAGGGCACACTGCTGATTCATATCCAGGTTCTTGTCCACTGTAATCTCCAGTCAACAGATTTACACCAGTCTGAGGGCAGTGTGGGATCAGAAGCCAACCTAATTCCTTACCCCAGCATGAGAACAGGCAAAACTGAGCGTCCTGGGCTTGGAACTTGGGGTTCTAGGGAATCTAGTTCTTTCAAAGCTGATGCTTAACATGTTAAGCCATCCCCTCCAGCTGGCTACAACGAAGTGTTCAATGAAAGATGCACGTACAGGCTGACAACTTTCACGGTGTTGTTAAGCACACCCAATCCATTCTGTGCTGAATTCCCCCCAACTTGATGTGAATGTAATAATCACGGATTAGCAAACCAGACCCTTGGCTTCTAATTCCACTGGCTTCAGAATTAACCCAGGGATCAGTTGGACCCATTGCATTTTTCAAGAGATTCAGGGTGGATTTCTGACACAGTTTCGTTAAAATCTGGAACCACATCGAAGAACACGGGGCTGTAAGGCAAGCTGTTTCTGTGAACTGGGGTTAAGCAGATTGTGGGGAGGGTAAGGGATAGGATGCTTCATTCTATCAGATCCCCCAAACCTGCGTGATGGGGAAATTGGTCAGAGGTGCTTGATAAGCCTGGAAAACAGGTCACCTTTCCTGTCAGGAACAAGCCTCATTCTTGGCAACTTGATCCCTGCAATTTCCCTCTCACGGTTAATGTTTATGGCCCAGTTTTATTGTGCATAATGCAGCACGCACTTTAAGGTAGTTTGCTCTCACATTACTCCACCAGGCACCAATTGCACACAGGGAAAATGGGTGCTCTGCTCACTGTCCGACAGTGCCTTCTCCTGGTGGCTCTGGGGATTAGCTCTGCCAGGCCAATGCCCTTTCCTGTCGGGGCGGCAAAAATGCTGGAGCCGGCCCTAAGCAGCAAAGAGAAAAAAAAAAAAAAAGAATAAAGCCGCGGTCGACAGCACTTTGGCGGCTGCTCTACCGCACCGCTTCATTCTTCGGCAGCCGGTGCTTCTCTCTGCAGGATTGAGGGACCCGCCGCCGACCCAGCTGTGCCAGCCCTTTCCATGGGCTGCCCCAAGCACCTGCTTCCTGCGCTGGTGCCTGGAGCCAGCCCTGGTTCCTGTAGCTTCACTCTGCCACTCTCAGTCTACGGCTCTTCTCTAGCTCCAGGAGCTGCTGCTTCCTCTTCATACTCAGCTCTCCGGCCAGGTCGCTCAGCAGTTTCCCCTTCCAGGGGGGCCAGTCAGAGTTTCTCTCCACAAGCAGCATCACTCCGGCAGACTTTGTATTCGCTGCCCTTAGTAATACCACTCTGCCGGGGTTGGCAGGGGAACCCAGGCCCGCCCTCTACTCTGGGGCCCAGTCCATGGCCCTGCAGTGAACAGTTAAGGTTTGCATCTACCCCCAACCTTACTGCTCCCTCCCATGCTGCTACTCCCCTACCTCAGGCAGAGGGACAGCAGGCTTCCTCCCCGCTGATCCCCACACTGTTGCCAGCCTCCTGGCTTTATAGAAGTCACTCCAGTCCCCTCACAGGTGAGCTTCCTTCTAGTTCGCTCCCTCCACACAGCCTAACGCTCCCCCAGTGGCAGCTTACTTGGCTGATTGGACCCACTTGGCCTAATTCAGTGCTTGCAGAGCTGGTGTGGGGAGTACAGCCCATCACAGGGCCCCACACGCTCAGCAAAGGCAGATGCTGCAGTACGCAGCACTCTCAAAGGAAGGGGGGGTTTGGGTTTTCCTCCCTTTGCTTCCCAAAGCACAAGCTGCATTAACGATGGCATCCCATGGCTAAGGATGTGGTGGATTCTCCATCACTTGCAATCTTTACATCAAGACCAGCCAGCTCTCTCAAAGAGCCACTGGAGCTCAACCAGAGATTCTGGGCTGGATGCAGTAATCACTGGGTATATTCTCTAGCCTGGTTCTGCAGGTCAGACTAGATCATTCTGTTGGTCCCTGCCGGCCTTAAAGTCTATGAGTACATGGGGAAAGAGAACAGCAAATTGCTGGGGCTTTGAGTGCCAGGATGCAGTGCAGAAGAGTGAGCTCCCCAGGGCCACTCGTGCTCTGAGCTCGCTGGCTCTCGTGAGAAACACCCTTCGGTTGTGCTGTCCAGACCCCTTCTAACCTTTACAGCCCCAAGCTGGCCCACCTTCCAGCGCTTCTTTATGCACCACCGGACAAAGTTCTGACAGAGGCTCTCCCCCATAAAACCCACCCACCCCAGCAGAGGCTGAGTAAACATACACTCCAGCGCTGGCTTCTTCTGAACAGCAGCACAGGGCAGGCTACAGGCCCTCTGTACTGAGGGTCAGTGCAGCTTCAGGGGAGGGGTGTGCCATGGAAGGGTGCCCGCAGGTCCTGGGGTGTGGGGACCCTGCCTGGAAGAGACTAGGGATCATTGCAAGAGATCATGTGGGGGGCACAGATCTGTATGTGTGGATTCCTGCAAGCTTTGGCAGCATGCATGTCCATCTGGGGGCATTATGAACACAGCTCTAGGTCGGGTGTTTAGCCCTGCTCAGAACAGAGCACAGAGACCATGCAGTGAATTTATCCTGTGCAGTCAGGGAACTTTTGATTTAGACTTGAAAAACTTGCTCCAACAATCAAACCAATACTGCACCTACTTGTCCACCCCCAGCAGGCAGCCCCAATGAGCACAGCTGGTTAAGCCAGCAGCTTGGTGAAAAGCTGATGAAGGCACTGTTGGAAAGGATGGGTTTAGATCAAAGGCTGTTGGCCAAAACAGTATCTCTGAGCAGCCTGAATCACCCAGCTCACAGGTGCTCAGTAAAGACACTTCCATTCACTTGAGAGAGGAACTGTGGTAAGAGGGAACCACGCTCACCCAAACACCCATGTTTGGGCATCAGAGCCCCCTGCACCCTTGTCGAGAGGCAACCCCCCCGCCATGCTAGGGGACTTCCATGGGTTCACTTGTGCTGTCCAACCCCATTTACACTAGTCAGGGGACTGATATTTGACAGCTACTTTAAACCATAAAGGAAGGGTGTGGACAAAGCCTGAACTCTCCCTCTAGAATGATTTCTGGGCAAAGCAGTTCTATTTCTGCCCTTTGACAGGGGACTGGTTAGATGCAGACTCCCAGTGGAGGGATGATTTCTGATCACCCTGAAAAGAAATGAATTTCTGGAATATCAAAGGCCAGGCTGAGAGAGAGAGACTGGCTAACCTGCTACTAGCCCCTTTCATTCTGCTACAGAGCCCCAAGAATGCTCCCTGCAGAAACTGTGGCTACGGGGAACGGGGAGAGGGACTGGAGTGGTTCCTTTGGCCGCTGAGTACTAAATACTCTGACTCTGTCCCTTTAAAATGTATTTCTAGCATTTGGCTGGTTTTTACTCAAAACAAGAAAATAGGCTTCAGCGGCTGCCAGATAATTCTTTCCAGCGTGATCATTTTTACTGCTCTGAATAAAAAAATAAAGCAGCTCCTCTGAAGATGAAGTGGATTCTTTCCCTGGATTCCATTAAAGCAAAATTCCCCATTTAATACTGTACAATAGAAGAATAAAACAGAGCAATAAATTCCAGGCACAATTCTTATAAAAAGTTGTCTATTTAGTTTTTCTGTATAAAAACAACCAAGAGAAACTGGACAGGAAATATACAAATCACTTACTGCATTTTAACACATTTGACAATAAATTGTAAGTGATTCTGGTAATGGCCAATAACCTCTTCAGCAGCTGAAAGTGGGAACACATGAAGCATCTTAAAAATTCCAACCATTTTAGACTAACGCATTTCCTACCAAAAATTCCCCTCTTCTCTTTGTGGGAGGCGCATCCAGATAAAGCTTCTCTGAAGCCTTGTTGGTTAAGACATAAATTTTGCTCTGCAAATGAAGCTGGCTTGACATTTTCCAGTTCCATTACCACATGTGTCTGAAGGGGCTGGCATTGGTTAGAAGCAATTCAATTCTACTTCTGTAAACCAAAGGTGTCAAGGTCAAATATTAAGCAGTCTTCTCATCTTCACTGGATCTCTCCCATATACAGTCTCTTGTCACTAGATGCAGAGAGTACTGTCAGGAGAGAGGGGGAGAGACCAAATCAAAACGTTAAGAGCCATTGGAGAGTTTAGCAGCAGACGAGTTAACACCCATTTGGATTTAAGTACCCATCTCACTTGTTCTCAATCTTGTGCCTATAAAGTAACTTTTGAACTAAAATGGTTTTCTCCCCAGCCTGCTTTTCAGAATTATTAGTTTACTGATAGCTAATCACATTTTGTATGTTCCTGATACCGACTGACATTTTTCTATCCCAAGTTACAATTGCAGGCATACCTCATATTAAGTTAGACACTATGTTTACACGGTTATTGCTGTTCTCCTTAAAAAAATACCGATCAAATGTCAAAGATGTTATTTTCTTTGCAAAAATAGTGCATGTAAGTACTCTAATTCTGGTCGCTAGCCACTAGAGGGAGTAATCTCTTTATCAAAAGTCTCTATGGGCCATTATTCTTGTTTTCCACAATAGTTATGAAACAAACAATTCAGCTGTCATCCCAACATAATAAAGCACTGAACCATCTTTAATTCAGACATAGTTGTTCAGTGGCTTCATGACAGATCTCAAATGCAGTGACCGTCTCTCTAGACCTGCTGTCCCCGTTGCCCAGAGCAGGCTCCCATGCAAGTCAATTGGAGATTTTCTTGTCTAAGGATTACTGGTTCAGGCCCATGATCTCAGCACTCTTTGGAAGTCTGTGTGCCTCCGCATGCAGAGGTGTGAGGGTCTTGGAGGAAGGGAGTGGTTTACAAGATTAACTCCCTTTGATGTTAACAGGAGTCACTCTCATAAACCCTTGCCCACGGAGGGGACAGATCGCTTGTTTATTTTTCCAGATGAATGATTGAGTCACAAAGCGGTACTTAGCTGGATGCAATCGCAAACAACAAACCCCCTCTGTGGAGAGAAAGATTGCTCTGCGCTTTTAGCACCTTCTCTGACCTGGAGACAGAACAATGAATAACCGAGGAACAAACCCATAATTCATGGCACTGAATTCCCACACCCAACCTTCTGTGGAGATTTTCATTCCTGGGAAAAATGCATTTACAGGGGTGACACGTGTTGATTTCCTGGGCAATGCAATGGGCGACCCAGCCCATGATAACTATGAGTCTTTGTTTCCATGGAAACAATGCAACCCTGAGGACCGGTCTGTACTACAAAGACGACTGTACTAAGAAACAGGTGTTAGGAATGGGCTCAGCTAACGCAGTGCTGGCACAAGCACAGAGAGGGCATAGTGTGATTATGACGGTTTTCAAAACCATCTAGCAGATGGAGTTAGATCTCCCCTCCACCCCACCCAATCTGGGTACCAGAGTCTGTCAGTACCTCCTGGAACAGGTAAAAGGTCACCTCACATGCACTTGAATTTGCATGTGTGTTAATTTCCAGAGCTTCCCCTTTATGTTTGAGAATGCTGTGAGGGGAGCTCAGCCCAGGTGAGGTGAAGAAACGTACAGAAGGTTTTATTATGCTGCTTGCTGGTGACAGCATTGCTGCTTGCAGAAACCCTACAGCACAGTGCCCCTCTCTTGGGCTCTGAGGGAGTCCTACACTTAGCATACAGGCTTAGAAATATTTCAGCAGCACTCGGGCTCATTTCCCCAGAAGACTAGAGCTTCATGACAAATCAATAAGACTTACTAATTGGTTCCTCTGGATGGAAAGCCACCTCGTTTACTGAGCCAGCATGGCCTGGCAGCTTGTAGAGAATTCTCCTGGAGGTTGTATCCCACACATAAACAAACCTGCAAGACACAGTCGGTATGAGGGCGAAAGCTGCCTGATGGCAGGACTTCAGAAAGGAAAGAAACTTCCAGCCCCCAATTTGTCTAGGTTTCTTGGTAACTCACATTTCCCCAGCTACACTTTAATAGTTACAATTGTCTTCCAACTTTAACATGCCAAGAGACTACTTCGGAGATGAAAATCTGTCATTACCAGGCACAGACAAAAGAAAGGGTTAGACAGCGAGCAGCAGCCTGGGCAGGGGTGAGAGCCCTTCTAGGGCATTTCAGACAGGAGGCAAATGGCTGGAATTACATGCCACAGAGCCCCTGTGCACCCATCCATAATAATTTCAGATGAAGTGGCATATGGGACGGGAGGGGTGTCAGTGGGGATTTTATCTGAGCGCCAATGCCCCAGCATGCTAGTACAGGGCACTGAGAACCCGATGTGCAGGCTCTGGATGAGACCAGGTCTGAGCGCCTGACTTTTGGCGGTTACATAACTCTTCGGAAGAGCAGAGATGCTCACCCCAGTGTCCTGGGGAAGTCCCCGGTTACCATTCCGCCTGCCTACAAATTCAGCCTGAAATTTCAGCTGGATCGCAGCATTTTCCATGGTTTGTGACAAACTATTGTGTAGCACAGCTGTTTGCTGCTAGACAGCTGCCGCCCAGCAGCACCCCGCAGCAGTCACCATCAGCGAGCGTGTCAGTGCACTTTGGGACGAGCGCTGCTATAGAAAGACAGGTTGTTCCACCAAGGAATGGCTGATTATTTCCCACTAAAACCAACTCTTGATACAGTTTAATTCCTCCCAGTTAATAACGTTTATAGACGGATTTCTATCTCCTAAACGGTTACAAAGTCAGGATTCACTTCCCAGTGGCAGTTTCTGAGGGGGTTGATCAGATTTTGTGAAGCCCTTTTGTTAATCTCTTCCTAGTCTCCATCCCCCATCCCTGTTTGCATCATTTCTGGGTCCTGTCCGGCTGTGCCACCTTGGCTGAAGGACACTGTGAAGGAGACACTAGAATATTTCCATATGATGGGTCAGAAATTAACTGCTGGCAGTATGAGTAGTTCAGCTTTTAAGCAGATTATGTTTACAAAGAGAACTTCTTTTGAGGAAAAAAGCCCACTGCAAATCATGCTACAGCCAAAAATGCAAACTGGCCAATGCCTGAAATGTATAATTGTAAATATGGTTCATTTATGTGTCATTTGCTGCCAGTCTGGCTGAGCGAGTAGCTGTTCAACTAATGCCCAAGTTTCACTGGAAGACGTGACCCTAGCTAGAGTGAGATTTTTAGGGGTTATTGTCAATCAGAATGAGAAAGGGCTCTAAGCAAAGTATTATAAACGAGGCAAAACCACAATGTGTCCCACCTGAATAACTTCCTTTCAGATACACCAGAACTGCTTTATCATGTGAAACACCACTCATTACAGGGTTCACATCTTAGAGAATTCACTGAAGTGGGCTCAGGAAAGCTGCCAGTTAGGGACTAAATTTAGACTGCTCTCTCTTCTGCTTTGGCACGGAAATGCTAAGAGCTCTTCATGGACATCACCAGCCTCTCAAACTAATTCTGCTAGCTGGGGGAAAAGTTCTGATGCGGCAGTAATTGGCTAGGCTGAATGAGAAGGCTGGCTCACTGCTCTGCATCATTACATCTATCAAAAGGGACATTGCAAAGAATGAGGGCACAAAGGACAACCAGACAAGCAAAACTGCATAAAGGCAACCTACAGTGTTGTACTACTCTGAAACAGGTCTCTCTGCAAAAGGCCCCAGGGACCCCATATTTATCTCTCTCCAAATCAGAGGTGCTCTGTTTAAAAGTCTCTTCTGCCAGCCCTGCAAACTCAGCCTGAGATCTGAGGGCCAAGCCGCCACCAGCCCACCGTTTCTGGCTTATGTATTACCAGTAATCGAGAGTCAACAAATCCTTACTTACAGCTGTTCGATCTCACTGCCTTCTATATGGTTTCACGGGAGTGACAGGAGGCAGAATTGGGCCTTGTAATTAGAAATGTAAACAACTCTTAGCTGACAGAATCCAGCTCCCTCTCCCAGATGTGGGTTGCTCCACAGGGTTAACTTATTTTTGGTCAATTAAGTAGGTAAGTCCTACTCTGGATATGTACATAGAGCAGATCTGCTGAGCAAGCCATAGTCACTTTCCAGACTGGAACCACACTTTACCTGCTTCATTAAAGCTCTTTAAAGAGAAAAAATATGCTCTCCACAAGCATGGGTAAGTTCTGAACCCTTATCTAATGCAGCATCCATTTAAACTAGAGTATAGCTATTTCAACTGAGCAGGTGAGAGCGGTGACAAATCTTTGCTCCAATATTCTCCCTGTTATCTATTTTCATTAATGCTGTGGAAGAGGCAAGGCACTTTTAATTGCTTCTTTTAGCCACAACCAACTCTTGAAGGCTCAGCAAATAGTCCTTTTACAGGCATAAGGCTCTCCAGCTAAATTTAGTCATCTTGAGGGTCCATGTAATGTAGCAGGAAGCCTCATTACTTGGCAGCCAACTTTTACACCTCATAAAGGCAGAATTATTATTTTCACTTTTTTTTTTTTTAAGTCCTGGTAGGAAACCAAACATTTTGCAGCTGTGCAGACAGAAATATTAGTGGAACAGGATTCTGACAAGTCCAGAATACAGTGTCCACCTCGTGGCAGGACAGATGGAACCACATGCACTTGATTATACATTACACACAAAGTTAATTTCAGTTTGTGGGACTTCACCCTGCACCCATGGAACTAATCTAACAGCCTGTAGTTTTAACCGAGTCACCATGCTGCGCTGTCCAATCAAGGACCAGCCGTAGCTCTAGCTGTGTTAATAAATAGCAGCTGTTTTACTGTCTAAGCAATAACAGCATTAGCATTTCATGGAGCAGCACTTGGAGGAAGCATCACACAAAGGTTACTCAGTCTCTCAGCTGTTCTGTAATTTGATCACGAAAGGACCATGTTTGTCTGGCATTGTAAGTCCTTTGCAAACCCCATTCGGTTAGTGCTGAAGGTTTTGTTATCCTCCAAGTATAACTGCACGTCATGTAATAAATACAGGATGGATACTATTTTACCAACTACGTTCCCATTGTTACATTACAGTGCAGTATATTGTGCTAGGACTGCAGCTTCATTCTCAGCTCTGCCCTTGGGCTCACCGCTGGTATGTGCCATCTGGAAAACGAGTCTAACCGAATTTACCTCACAGGGTTATGAGGAGGCACAGCTAGTGATTGTCAAGTGCTTTGGGATGGAAGGTGCCAGAGAGAAGCACAATGATTCAGTTTTACCTATCTGCTGATCCGCCGGCTATTTTACTCCCATCTGGTGACCAGGAGCATCTCAGAAGGTTCTGCAAATCAAACAGAAATGGAACTGTGCGCATTTATATGAGAAGTTTTTGGTTCCCCCCTTTGTTTGAAATAACGTCACCATGGGATTTTAAATATCACAAAGCACACTTTAATGATCTCCTTTTGGAAGAGAAGCCTGGAGTTAAGAGATTGTATTTTATGGCTGGAAACATCCAGAGCCTTGTTATTTTACACAAAGTAGAGACTAAATGTAGAAAATATTTAATTTACAGCTAATTATAGCTGAATTGAGCAAAGAAGCCAGTTACTGCAGCTTTAATTGGAATCCCCCTTTACACATTAATCTTGCCCCTAGTCCTCATTAAATCTTTTCTAGTTTATATTTTGGAGTTTATTAATTTGTCTGTAAATTGTTTTTTAGACAGCTGCAGTGTTTCATTAACGAGCACTGTTTCGGTTAGGAGCACTCTCACCTTCTCAAAATTATGCACATTCCCCTGGAATATCTTCACACATCTCTCTTTAGGGGCAAACGGTCGCACATCCCAGATTCGAACTGTAATGGAGCACACAAGAACATAAGAATGGCTAGACTGGGTCAGACCAAAGGTCCATCTAGCCCAGTATCCGGTCTTCCCACAGTGGACAATGCCAGGTCCTTCAGAGGGAATGAACAGAACAGGCAATCATCAAGTGATTCATCCCGTCGCCCATTCCCAGCTTCTAGCAACAGAGGCTAGGGACACTTCAGAACATGGTTTTGCATCCCTGCCCATCATGGATGGACCTATCCTCCATCAACTTATCTAGTTCTTTTTTGAACCCTGTTATAGTCTTGGACTTCACAACATCCTCTGGTAAAGAGTTCCACAGGTTGACTGTGCGTTGTGTGAAAAATACTTCCTTTTGTTTGTTTTAAACCTGCTGCCTATTAATTTCATTTGGTGTCCCCTAGTTCTTGTGTTATGAGTAAATAACACTTCCTTATTTACTTTCTCCATACCAGTCATGATTTTCTAGACCTCTATCATATCCCCCCTTAGTCGTCTCTTTTCCAAACTGAAAAGTCTCAGCCTTATGAATCTCTCCTCAGATGGAAGGTGTTCCATATCCCTAATAATCTTTGTTTCCTTTTTTCTGTATCTTTTCCAATTTCAATATATTTTTCTTGAGATGGGATGACCAAATCCACAAGCAATATTCAAGATGTGGGTGTACCACAGATTTATATAGAGGCAATATGATATTTACTATCTTATTATCTATCCCTTTCCTAATGATTCCCAACATTCTGTTAGCTTTTTTGACTGCCGCTGCACATTAAGTGGATGTTTTCAGAGACACAATGACTCCAAGATCTCTTTCTTGAGTGGTAACAGCTAATTTAGACCCCATCATTTTGTATGTATAGTTGGGATCATGTTTTCCAATGTGCATTACTTTGCATTTATCAACATTGAATTTCATCTGCCATTTTGTTGCCCAGCCACACAGTTTTGTGAGATCCTTTTGTAACTCTTCGCAGTCTGCTTTGGACATCTGTCAGCAACTAGCTAAAGATCATTAGTTATTGTACCATACAAAGTGACGATGTGAGCTGTCATCTCCACAAATGAGTGTTAAGTTATTTAAAACAAAAAAGGATTAAAAGTATTTCTGGTAGTATATTTAAGCTATTACAAGTATGTTCAAACCATCTTAGCTCCTTGGCTAAACCCATAAGAAACAGGAAATTCAGAACAAAGGGCTGAAATTCCATCCTTCCTTCAGTACCTTGTGCCAAGACATTACCAGGTTCTCTAAACCGGAGGCTATTTTAGATCAGTAAACCCCGAAACACTCATTCCAATTCATTGTGCTTGGGGTGTCAGCTGAACTATCTGGCTCTTGCAATGCTGAATATTATGGAATCAGAGATAGCAGGATAGATTTGGGTCAGCTAACTTAGGTCCTGACAAGGTGGGGTTGTTCCTCCCTGAATATCCACAGTGCTTTCCACTCCTAATTAATTTGTGTTGGGGTCTCCCTCGCTTCACTTTGAAAAGATGACGAGCCCTCCCTCTGCAGTCACCCTTTTCATGAAAAAGCATCAATGAAAGCAGAAAGTCACTATAACTGGAATTATCCCTTACACACACACTATCGTCAGTCTATCAAACAAGTTCAGCCTAGATCTTCCTTTGATCCTTTGGCACTCAATTACACTGAGTTATTCCTCTCACAATGCTATGCAATCCCACTCCTTAACCAGCTGTAGCTCTCAGTGGTGTGAGCGCTACCCACATGGCTGCACTCAGATTCCTACAATGGCAAGCTGTGGCAATTACCTGTGTTGTCCATTGCGTTGGAAAGCAAGTAAGAGCCTTCTGAACTCAAACTGAGGCCGGTCACTGAGTCGGCATGCCCTCTCATTGTGTACGTTAGTTTGTTCTGGCGAAGGTCCCATACCTTTAAGAAAAGCGCACGGTATTGTCATTTGGTTCTCCATGTAAGGAAGCTGCAATGCAATTGGTAAGAGTGGAAGAAGCTGGCCTGACCGCTCTGGAAGCTGAACCCACAGAACTGGTACATCAGCAACAGCGCAAAGTTCTGCTCACCATTTGTCTCAAGCCTGACCTAGAGAGACAGCTGCAAAGGCCCCCTTGTTGGTACTCTCACCAGAGTCTAATTAGTGCAAATTGTGATGCACACACCTACCCCAAGAGAACTGACTGGGACCTCAGTCCTCAACTCTTTTCACACAGGCACCTGAAAGGAAGAGTCATGAGCTGGGAACAACTCTCACTCACTGCTGGGCTGGATTGGAACTGGTGAATTAGAAGAATTAAGCCTGCACATCTGTCCCAGGCATGGGATGCATGGCTTCATATACTTCCTGCTCAAGGTACCCCTGCTTTAGGCAGTAAGGAGCTAGATGCTGGCAGCAAAGTGACATAGACAATCATCACATGGTCAGTGATAACCCTACCAACACTTTGGAGCTACAAACTGTCTGACAGAGAGGGGGCATGGCGGCCAGGACCCAGAGGCTGTGCTCTGTTCTCCTTGAAAAAAAGAGATCGTGGAACCCTTAAGCTTCAAATGGTCAGCCAGAAATGACATTGCTCTAGTGCTTCATCTCCGTGACAGCCCCTTCACCAGGTCAGCACTCCCCATGCCTAGCACTGACTTGCCCAGGCCCTAGATAAGATGGAGACACCACCAGCTGTGCTATATAGTCATGTAAGAACTGTTCTGCAGACCACATAACTCAAAAATAGCTGATCACGGGGTTTCATTTAAACTAAATGTGAGCTTAGCAGACATCTTAGTACCAGCCTGTCCCTATCTTACCTAACAGAATCACGTCCTAGTAGGAAACTGGAGCCGGGTTTGCAGAGGCTAAGTTTATCACAGAAGCCGCTCAACACCGCCAAATCAGTCTGTCTCTTTAGGAAAAACGTGGAAGTCTGACACTTAATACAAGATGAATATAACCAAGGCTAGCCCACTACCATATCATGCCCATTACCCACATCATCATCTGGGCTAACATAAAAGGTTTGGGGAGTCTGTTTGGGATAGTTACAATAGGAAAGTGCAAGTAAACAGTCAACATACCTTGATATCGTTGTCTATGCCTCCGGATAGAATCTGATCACTGGTGTCATTGAAGGTCACTGCTAATACTTGGTAAGTGTTCTGAAATGTCTGGACAGCAGCTTTTTTACGAATATCCCACAGCTGAAGGGACACAGAAAGCAAATGTTTTTAAAGTTATACGCACACCACACATTTCACAGTACAGCTAAAGAGTCAGATCGGTACCCCCCACATTGTCAAAGTGCTCAAGGGCTGAATTTGGGGGAAGAACATGTGGAGGATCTCTATAGGACAGATGAAACCTGTTGTCCTGACACAAATATGTATGTTTTCAATTGGTGGGGAGAGACAGGGAAAAATCAGACTGCATTTTTTCCAAACCTTAAAACTAAGTTCACTACAAAGCACCACATAAAGCACATGAAAGCTGAGGGGGGACACGACAATAGTCTTCAAATATGTAACAGGTTGTCACAAAGAGGATGGTGATCAAATTGTTCTCCATGTCCACCAAGAGCAGGACAAGAAGCAATCAGTTTAGATTGCAGCAAGGGAGATTTAGGTTAGTTATTAGGAAAAACTGGAACACATTACCTAGGGAGGTTCTGGAATCCCCATCACTGGAGGTTTTTAAGAACAGCTGAGACAAATACCTGTCAGGGATGGTCCACTTAACTCAGCCTCAGTGTGGGGCTGGAGGGATGGACTAGATGACCAATTGACGGCCCATCCAGCCCTATATTTCTATGATGCTGTATAAATGTAACTCCATTCCCCAAAGAGGATCTAATAATGTAGGTTAGACTGCTTTAATATGGACACTTCTGTGGTGCCTTAGTAATGCCTGCCCAAATGGCGGTGATGGGGTTTGGGGCAGGGAGAAGGAGAACAGTATTTATCTTTTAACTGTTTAGTTGTTAGCTGGTGAATTTACAAGAGCATAATTAAGGACAGAACTGAAGACACTCAGCAGCTCTGATCCAGGAAAAATCTAGTTTAAAAACCCCTGTCTTGATTCACAAAAGGAGCCAGCCATTTTCCAGGTTTAGTCTCATGTTCTTTTCTAGGATTTTGATTTTAGTTTTAACAATCTAGTCCTGTTTATCCAAAACATTTCAGGGCCAGCATAGGAGGATAACTGCGGAAGTTAATGGGTAAGTGACTCAGGCTGGGATTTGGTTCAGAGGCAATTCTGGATGAAGTGGTCTCAGATGAACAAAATTTTACTCAAGTGGTTTATTTAATTAGTTATTTTTGCAAAGGTCACCAAAGCTGAATGTCCTTTATTCAGATGGGTCATCTAGCCTTCATAGATTCTCTATCACTGCAAAAGTCAGCCCATACAGAAGTACTGACCTTTACTGTTCCATCATCGCTGCCTGTACAAACGAGCTGGGGTCCCCGCCTCGCTGGATAACAGGAGTTAACAAATGATGTGTGGCCCCTTCAGCCTTTTCACTCTTTCTCCAGTTTCACTATCCCACACAGCTACCGTTTTATCTGTGGATGCTGAGAAGAGCATGCTGGTTGGGGGGAAAAAAGACGACACAGCTATGGAATCTTTGAAGGGTGATAAAATATCTGCCCCAACCCCTTTTGTTACTCTACAAACACAGCCAAGACTAGGGGTTAGAAAATTAAGCAGACACTAGCTAGAAGACTAAGCCCAATTCTCAGAGGCTGATATCAAAAGATGGCTCGAGATTTTGTAGCAGGACCAAGGGGTAGCATGATGGTGAAAAGCCCATTTTGAATATATCTTGCAATTCAATTACTGGAGGGGTGTCTGCTGGCTTCCTGCCAGATTTCATCTCCTTGACATTGCTTGGGATAATGGTGAAGGGGGAGGGACATCTTTTGTAAAAACCTCAGATAGTGTTGGATAATTTGGGAAGCTGTCCCTACCAGTCAACTTCTCCTTCCCCATCTTTCTTTCCTCATCCCGAATCTCTCCTCCATTCTCTCTTTCACACTGAAAGTCCCCCATCCACTTTCTCACAGATTTGCTTGCTAGGGATGGGACAGAATGCCTAGGCTTTAGTTCTTCTGCTCCCCATCCATGGGCCTTGGAACTTGTCACGTTGACTTTACTCTTTGCTCCTGCTCTCTAGAACCGATGTAATATGTTGAGATATTTCGGGGGGTGCAACCATTGCTTCTCCTCTTGGCTGGTGGCTCTGAAGAGGAGCTGGAGAGCAGCTTACATTCTCCACAGCAAGTATCCCCCTTGCCAACTACAAGTATCTTTTACCCACGATCTTTTACTATCTCTACCCAAGACCTAAACAACATGACCTTCATTTAGCAGCTTCTTTCATGCAAACTATTTCCCAAAACATTTTGCAGAGTTCATTCAGAAACAGCAGCAAGGCAGGCTAATGCTAGGTCAAGTCAGTTTCATCTGATATTTACCTGCCATCAGTGTTATAGTGCAACTCCATAACTGCTCCACTGTGTCCCTTCAGGGTGGCAAAATTATCACAATCCCCATACACGTGCCACAGCACTGTAAAAAATAAACCAAACAAACCCAAAACTATGTTTTAATACCAATTTGTCCAAGTAACTATAGTGACACTTCCTGAGCTCTCTAAAATAAAGCACCTATAGGATTCAGAACCATCTCCAAACCCAAGTATTTACTCTGTGGAATAGGAAGCCTTTAAATGGTCAATGCAAGTTCCATGTGAGAGAGATGGCTGAAATTTGAAATATACCTTAAATATTGGTTTGTGTGTGTTCTTAAACCAAGCTGGATAAGGGAAGCACATTTTAGTAAATACCTCCACTGCCTCTCCAAGTCTTAATATTTTTCTATTTTGGACATTCGTATGTTTATGAATGGTATGGTAAAATTTGCTTTTTTGGCCACCTGTCAGTGGCAGTTAAGTACATGGAAATTGTGATAATGACCCAGGATAGTATCAGATTCTTCAGAGGAAGGTGGAAGAAACTCTGTAATGGACAATTAAGGAACAGTCTGCCCATAGTGGATTAGAGAAAATTTTCCTCATCAATGAGTGGTTA